CGCCTCCCGTCCCGCAGCGGTGGCGCCCGCCTCCCCGGGCGGGGACGAGTGCCTGGAGGAGGACGAGGACGAGCTGGAGCCGGGGCTGGACGAGGCGGAGGCCGAGCCGGAGGCCGGGAGCGGGGCGAAGGCGGCGGGGGGCACCCGGGGGGCCGTGCTCCCCCGCCGCGGCATCACCCTCCGCGTCCTGCTCCGCGATGGGCTCCTCGAGCCCGCCCGCGGCGTCCTCTCCATCTACTACCTGGTGAGCCCGGTCAGCGCGGGGACACGACGGGGGACAGGGATGGGGGCCGGGGGACCGACGGGTGCCTCGCCGCTCACACCACGCTCCCCAGGGCAAGAAATTCGTGGGGGACCTGGGGGCGGACGGGACCATCACCTGGCAGGAGACGGGGCAGGTCTTCAACTCCCCCAGCGCCTGGGCCACCCACTGCAAGCGCCTGGTGAACCCCGCCAAGAAGTCGGGGTGCGGCTGGGCGTCCGTCCGCTACAAGGGCCAGAAGCTGGACCAGTACAAAGCCGCTTGGCTGCGCAAGCACCAGCCCAACGCGCCGCCCGCCGAGGAGGTGGGTCGGGACCCCCGCTCCGGGACCCTTGGGTGCTCCCCCCAGTGTGGGTGGTGGGGTGGGTGCCAACCCCGTGCTGCCCGCAGAGCCTGGCCAGCGAGGGAGAGGAGGAGGAGATGCCCGAGGAGGAAGAGGAGGAGGCGACGAGGGAGGGTCGGGCGCCTGTGCCGGAGCCGGCGGCTAGCAAAAAACCAGAGGAGAAGAGCAAGAAGCAGCAGTGCAAGAGCCTGGCGGAGCCGGCGGGGACAGGTAAGGTGGCACGGGGGCCCCGGGGGACCCTGAGCAGCCCGGCAGCGGTGACGGGGCGTTGTGCTTTCCAGATCACGGCCCCCTGGGGAAAAGGCTGGAGAGCAAAGCCCGGGTGCCTGTCCGCTACTGCACCCTGGGCACCCGCGACTCGGCCAGGTAGGGTGCGACAGGGACGGGGACCCAAGCCCCACGGGTGCCACCGCCGGCCCCGTGGGTGCAGGAGGGGCCGGGGGCGGCTGCGGCCGGGGGGGC